TACGTTATCGACCATTTTCAGCCAAAAGAATCTTGCTCTAGTCGTGTCTAAAATGTTCCAGATGTCCCATATGTCACACCACAGACTTCTCCATACCTCTCTGCCTTCTCTGGTTGTTTACCATTTTCAATCAAATACATTACCCTTGACGATACTTCGTCATTTGCTTGTTCTCATCTGCAATCATGAATTGCCATTATTGAAATTGTACTCTCATTTAGAAACTTACGTGGATCATGAGTCATAACCTTGGCAGTATGTGCATTTGCCTTAATCAAATGTGTTTCTTCACTGGAAAAACAATATTGTAATTCATCGGGAGTTATTATCATTTTCTAAAAGGAGAGGTCCATTCTTGATTGTCATAACATTGTTATGTAATTTGCCAATGCAGCCCACTTTTTTGGTGGGTGCTCATAACAGTAGTCTCAACACTTTTCAGTTCAATTTCAATGCAAGATATTTCAGTTTGTGGGGTGTGTACTTTTTTCAATTGCAGACAGGTTTCCACTTGAATGTGCCTGTCACTGTTGAGAGAAACCAAGACTATGGCACCTCTGTGGCACCTCTCTATATGCAAAGAGTATAGCTGGTAGATAGCGATCCCAGTCATTAGGGCGTTCATTGCATATCTTTTTCAACATTGGCTTAAGGGTCGCGTTGATTGTTTCAACTAAACCATTTCCAATTGTGTGGTAGGGCGCTGTGGTTAGCAGCTTAATCGATATTAATCTGCTTACCTCGTGCATCAGATCGGAGGTGAATTGACTACCCATGTCTCTTAGTACTTCGTGAGAAATACCTATCCAACTATACACCTCCATCAATGCCTCAGCTACACTTTCAGTATAAATTTTCTTTAGAGGAATAGCTTTTGGGTACCTGGTCAACTATAGTTAGTATATACCGGTATCCTCGCTTCGACATCGGTGTGATTAGCCTCACCAAATCTACTGCAACCCTCTGGACTGGCACATCTATAATAGGCATCTTACTAAGTTCCACCATCTTAACCTTACTTTTCTGGATTGTCCGTTGACAAATATCACAAGATAAACAGAACCTGGTTACATAACCATGGAGCCCTGGTCAAAATAAGTTCTTCATTATTTTATCAGATGTTTTACCAATTCCCAAGTGCCCACCCATAGCCAATTCATGGGCAAGTTTCAACACTTTGGACCTCAAATGTCATGGTACAACCACGTGCTTTATAGCTTTACCATAATTCATCTTGGGGCTTTGAAACATCCGGTACAATATACCATGTTGGGTAGTAAACCAAGACTTGTTTTTACCCCAGCATACAACTTTTGACCTCTCCCTGAGAAAGTTTAATGTCTACATTCATCATGATCCAAATCAATGCGTTTGGTTACTGCTAGAGGCTTTATTGTTCTCTCAGCCCACTGTGCTTGTGCTCTGGTCACTACACTTACTTGCTCACACTGCCTTCTCCAAGTGGGGTCATGATCTTCATGATTCCTGAATGGGGTACTCACCTCTATATGGGCTGTTGGGAAGTTTATGCAATCCCCACTAACCATATTGCACGATGCTTGTGTACTGCATTTTATTAACAAACTTCTTGTTGACAATGTCACCCCTGCATCCAGAATCTCTTAATACTTTACTTCTACATCCCAAACATAGCTTCTGTAAACTGGTATATTTGATTCACCACTGGTACTAAATCCTAAATGATGTCTGTCTGGGTAAATGACCTTTTGAGTTGACATAATTTCCACACATGCGCTTTGTTGGAACTTGCACTGGCAGCAACATTCCTCACCCTTTTCCCCACTGATGGTATTTCCCGGCTTCAATAATGCCACACTAGATTCCTTTTTACCTCTCTGGCCACCTACACCACTCGCCCTATTCTCGCATCGTACTGCTTTATGACCCCATACTCCACTTTAGCGGTATGTACCTCGCCAGATGACCTCTGATCGCCAGTCTTGCCTCTTGCATCAATAATAAATCTCTCGGCCGATTCTTTCAATGATGCTAAGCCCTTTTCTCTGAGATAGGTCGCCAAATTACAAAAAAAAAAACATGCACTGAGCTGCGAAGCCGGATCGTGATGACGTGTACTAGAATATTCCTAAAATACAAATATTAGGATCCTAGCACGCTCGCCAAGTGTCACAGGTTCGGGCGTGATTATTATTGTTCACACACGAAAGTCACTCGCATACAATAAGAACATCGTGGTACATTATATCATATTTATATACACACATGTACATAAAGCAAGAAAACAAAACTAACGTACATAATGGTTATATTTCTGAAATATGGATTCAATATGCACATTGTCCATTTAAATACAATTGTACTGACGTATTCTACAGTCTGGCTTTAGGAATAATTGTCAAAATAACTTCACATTAAATATCAGCACTTATAGGTACTTTCATCATTGCAAACCAAATTAATCAATACATATTTAATAATTACCCGGGCGGCCACGCCGAAGTAACCATCAACTGATCATGCGTTAACTTACAAATACATAGATAGAAATTACAACAAAATTACACAGAAACGCTATACACTACCATACACGACTCAACACTGGACGGTCAATGTGCGTGGTCCATACAGTTAGCGACAACTAGTGCGGCGTGAACAGCTATCTCTCTCTGTATCTGTCTCTCTCTCTCTCCAACGTTTCCTGCATGGACCTTGCTAATATCAACTGCAGATATCCGCTTGTCACGTGCGTACATTCGCCATACAGTAGTTGATTCAGAGAAACGTAAACCCGACAGCAAGTACCAATCTGAGCCCCGGCGTTTAGAGCGTACCCAAGTAAATCCTGCAGAAACTTGACACTACGAAGTTACGACCACTCAGTGCACCGACCACCACACCTCAGCTAGGTTGTGTGAAGGCGATAATAATATGATTACATTCACAGAAAAAAAGCCTGCATAAGCGTAGTACACAAAATGACCTACAATAATTACATTTCATGACTGCAAAATTTCAGTCAGCAAACTGGTAAATACCTAAAATTGAACATCACCTTTTAAAATTCTTCAAATTTACATTACTCACTTGCCAGTTACAACACAATGCGTTTCACACGACTTGCACAGGCTTCAGTTCATAACTTGATTTGTTAACTTCCTACAGCGCATGGCAATGATGGCAAATCACTACTTTCTGCACACGTTATTTAGTGTGATCATTCGTCACTGGTCCCCAGGAAAGTGACCAGCCAAAAGCCTGTCTTTCCTGTCTCGATGTACGAGCCCAGGTGGATATTTGCTCAGCAAGTCAAATTACATTACTACTCCACCAGGTGCTATTCAACCCAGAATAAGTAATACTGCCACAAAAATGTGACAGTGCCACTGGTGTTCAACGTAGTTACATTCGTGGACCTGGTACAGATGGGGTTGTAATATATAAGAAAGTTCCAAATGGGCAACCAAATGTGGTATATCAATGTCTTGTTTGCACATAATTATTCACCAGAAAACTTTCAAAACGTACGATAGTCGAAAACCACTCCGTACCCTGTCACAAGTCCATTATTTTCTCTATACGAGGATACGTGTATGCAATGGGTATGGCCTTGCTGTTATTTGTGATGCTGTTATAGTTGATGGGTACGTTGTAACATGTCATGCAACACGTGCACGTGTTCAGCATTAGTTGGCGAACCTGTAATATTAAATTCTAACCCTTCAACCATCATTGTCCTCTTGTTCTCAATCGTCCTTTCATAATGTTTCATCACTATTGTTTCATCACTATTCTTTTGATGGCGCTTACCCTTCCTAGTATATCTTCATGACGTATCTCGATTGGTTAATGTGTCAAGTTGCTCATTACTACCAGTAGTGGAGTATTATGGTTTATGTATTCATAGGCATTTGCGTCAAATCTCGTGGACTTATTGGGTCATTCTCAAAGTCAGAGTTTACCATCACCTGTAATATCTATCGAATTGGTTCCGCGTTCCAGTTCGAAATGTAGTGAGCACTCTACTTCTTAGTTATGATTGACCTCGAGACAATTCGGACCATCAGCCGAGGCAACCACTAAGTCAAATTAATAATTTAATGAAACAAATGGGCATATATTACAACAATATGAGCCAAAATCGAGCTCTCGATCACAGCAAACCCCTGTCACCACAGACAATCACATTGATTGACACAGAAACAATTAAATGTTGTCTATATGTGCAATGAATCAATATATGTTAATCATCAATAAATTATCACAAACAATTGAGTTTTCACTGTCCCATGTTTGTGCCAGAGATTTACTAATAAAGTGCCAATGATTATTAAATTGACACAAGACAATCAAATGTTGACTATATTGTAGCTGTAATGTACAATCAATCATTATGTAATAATGTAACACCTGGATAGTGGCTGCTCTCTGTTTGAGTCAAATATTAGTCAAATGTACATCAACAAATTAGTGTGTTTAGTTGCTGTTGGACTAAATTAACTCTTAACACAAACTCTATAGACAAACAATATTGAGAAGAGAAGTATAACGTACCGGGTGGGCTCGTCTTTTAAATATTGATTTCAGGGAGTATAATTTCTCTAGTTCAGTGTGTAATATTAAATGCAGTTTGGTATTCCATTATACAACAATGGAGGTATTATGCTTACCTATAATTATTTGTCAGTTGCCATCAGTTTAATAGTACGTACTCAATTACTCATCATATGAAAAGTTCATTATTATTTAAATATCACATAAAGCCAGTTCATATCAGTTCATATTTCAAGCAAATATTAAATATATGACATATTTAATTTATTCAAGTTCCCAATTTTCCCGAGTTAGTTCATGTGGTTGTTGCTTACTTTTCTACTTATATTAAAAGCTGGGAGCGACCCACTGTCTTTTTTATTATGAAATACCGTCTGTAAGTTTGGCCAATGCATTGTTCACATTGCTGCGACAAAGCCGTATTATTATGCAATGACTACAATCATCCAGATCACATGCCACACAAAATGGCTGCAATATTTCTTGCTCATTTAATAGAAAGTGGTATTCAAAGTATTTTATCATCAGAACAAATTTATGGTATTGAAACACTTCCTCTTCCACTCTTCAATGGATCACATACACTATTCCCACAATGCCGGTCGTCATTAAAAACAAAAGAAGGCAATTATCATCCTTTGACAACACTTCGATATGATAAAGATTGGGCGGTGATAGAACCAACAAATGAGGGTGAGGAAAGCAGAATAGAGTGAACGGAAAACCATTACCTATAAACATTAATACAATTATAAATGTACAGTATTCATGTACATGTCGCGATGCTAGGCTGCTTGAATTGATGTTCGGTGGAAAGCAATGATTTATATCGATTATTCAATTGTAGAGATTCATCAGACACGGAGAAAGTGGTTTATAACTGCAGGAAAGTAAAACGAGAGATACATATGTCTTCTGAAAGAAAAACATGGAAGTGGTAAGAAATGTTGGCCTGGTATGCGTTTACAGTGCCTGTTTCCATGGTTACTAGTTGTCACACGCAACGTAATATTACCGTAATTGGTATAGTACAGGTGTGATGGTTCAAATACCAAAATGGCAACAGTAACATAAAGACTTCCCTGGCGGCGATGATAACATACGAACACGGA